ATGATTTAAACTATTAAAACCATCTTAAAAGGCAACATAGGCATTTTTCTATAACATAAGAGAATAAAACAAAAAGTATTTCTCTGAAAAAAAAAAAAAGAAGTATATGCATGTATGTGTAGAAAAGTACCTAATAGTGCTATCTCAGAGCATGTGGATCAAAACTTACATTTTACAGAAGAAAAAGAAATATTGAAGGTACTTCAAGAATCAAAAGTGGGGGAGAATAAAGAGAAGTGTTTTTACAGCCTTAGAGTGAGAAAGAACTTTCTAACATAACCCAGAAGCCAAAGAAAAAAATTGTAAAACAATAAATTTTCTCTAAAATAGGAGTCTAACATTCCAGGGGCGCAGGGTGCCAGGTGGACTAGAGATTGACCCCAAAGCTTCACACGCAGGTCTACATCCCCGGTCCTTTCTACTTTTGATTTTGAGGCAGGGTTTCTAGGAGCTGCTCAAGCTAGCCTTGCAGTACTCAGCCTCCTCCTGAGTCGCTGTGATTCTAAGCAAGTACTACCACACTCAGTGATGAAAATTAATTTTTAATTCAAGTAGTCACCAATGAATAGAAATTTACTTTTCTTGTAAAACAAATGCCAAGCCTGATTTCACATTTTATAGATCTTCTGGTTATGGTTGCCATATTTATTTGGATATTTTTAACCTGTCTGTGCTTTACTTGGAAAAGTAGAAGCTTCTGTTTAGTTTGGTTACTTCTTCCCTCCCTCCCTCCCTCCCTTCCTAAGTAAATACAGTGGCATCGCAGCACTGAAAGTTGAAATGGAAAAAGTAAGTCATGCGCGACCTGCTGGATCCTCTCCCAGTCCCCACCAGCTCTGCAGCTTTGCAGATACCATTGCAAGGCCTCATCCGGGAGAGGCACTATTGTTTATTTGGGTTTCCACCCTCTGTAGTGACTAGGTCTGCACCAGAGACAAAAATGTTTCTTAATCTTTTCTTTCTGGGATTCAGATTCCTCGTTTATAAGTTGTAAGCAGCAAGCTTACTCATGCGATTATCTTGAGAGTAATGTGGGATAATATTTATGAGAGTTTTGCAAGCTATTCCTACTTCAGGAATTTAGGTTTTCAAAGGGGAAGTGAGCTTGTCGGAGACATGGGAAGATGGGTATTGTCCAAGCACCCTAACTCTGCTCCTGGGCTGAGAGTCAGGAGCCAAGAGCTCTGCCAGTTCATGCCAATGTTCCAGACCAGTTACTTTGGCCTTTTAGGGCAGTTTCCTCCCTGGTGACTTTGGCACAAAGAAGACCCTGTTGATCCTGTAGCTGACTTCTGGGAGTCACGGTGTTCTTGCTTTGATGCGTTCCCTTCTCAGCACACATTCACTGAAGCATGCGAGATACTGCGTTAGATGCTCTGCCTTGTTTTACTAAGTCAGCTCCTCTCTGATCCGATTTGCCTCCCTTACTTGAAGATTTTCATTGATTGAATTTCTTTGATAACCATGTAACAGGACATCCTTGAATATTTGAAATATATGGCCAAGTCTTGACTGTGGCTTATTTTGACATAGAAAATGGTTGACCTTGCGCTGTACATAACAACATGTCACATTTTAAGCTAATAAAATTCTGAAATAAAAGTTTTATGACTGGTACTCTGTTTTTAATAGCTGAGATCAGCTGGGGTTTTATTCGATTCTCAAGACATTTTTAGATTTCAGGCAACATGCTACTCAGAGGCTATTGAATTAAAGAGTTTAATCGTTTACATTCCAATCATTCCTATAACTTCATGCCCTTTCAAGTATGATACTGAGGCTTATATGGCTAGTGTCTCTTTATTCACCAGGAACAAATAAAGGTTGATATGTTCAGGGGAAGATGCATGGGGGATAAGATTTTTAAAATGGTGTTGTTTTCATTTACAACTCTGGCTTTACACACTTAAAGTACTATATGTTTTCCTCAGGAGTTTCTAAACCCAAATGTCAATTAAAATAACAATATATTTTAGATCAAAATTTTAACAAGCATCATAATAAAATGGATTCTAGGGGCTGGAGAGATGGCTCAGTGGTTTAAAGCACCTACTTGGAACAAGCTTGGCAAAGCACAGGGACCGCGGTTCAATCCCCCAGCACCACATGCCAGCCAGTCCCGCCCCCTGGTGGGCTGAGCTGACCACACACACACACACACACACACACACACACACACTAAAAAAATGTAATAAATAAATAAAAGAAATATTTAAAAAAAAGAAAAATATTTAAAAAAAATAAAATGGATTCTAAATCTACTAATTTTCCACATTTGAGTTAACTTTTTGCTTTCAGCGATATATTTTCTTTCAGTCTTGGGGTCAAATCCAGGGCTTCACACATGCTAGGCAGTCTTTCTACCGCTGAGCCTCACATACCCTAGTCTTGAAGATTATTATTTGCATTAATTTTCTTAATATTTGCCTCCCTTATTCATTGGAACATTTATATCATTTAGGCTTCCAACAATATAAGGATAGATATTTATTTCAAATTTGTTATGTTAGGGCCCTGAATTCGATTCTTGTCGCGTGCACGCATGCACACACACACACACACACACACACACACAGCCAGATTTGTTATGTTACCCACATGTTATGTTTTAAATTTGGGGGCAATTAATTTTTAAAAAACTGTTATTATCTTTCAGTTTAACACTAAATGTAGGACTGCTCTAATGGCGGAGCTACTGTGTCATCTTGTCATTGTCTAGTAGTCCTACTCTTCACTCAAGGCATACTTTTAAAAAAGTAAAGAATCCCTTTCTTTCAGACCTCTTAAGCCATGAAAATGCAGCAACGCTGAACGACGTGAAGACTCTCGTCCAGCAGCTCTACACTACACTGTGCATCGAGCAGCACCAGTTAAACAAGGAAAGGGAGCTCATCGAGCGATTGGAGGACCTCAGGCAGCAGCTGGCTCCCCTGGAAAAGGTGAGACCCGCTCCTCAGGTCTCTCTTGACCTTGTTGCTTATAGAGCACACATTTGTGTTTTGTAGGTCGTACATAATTGAGTCATGTTGGTCAGAATTTGTACAATACCTTGTAGGACTCAGCCATAAAAAAGTTCCATTCTAAGCTGAGAAAGGACATAAACAGGACTATTTGAAGCCTGGATAATGGACTTAGAGTTCTGAGGCCTGAATGTGCTCCCTGTACCCAAATTTACCACCTCTAGAACCAAAGACTAGAGTAATTTCTCATCAGGAAAGATTCTGAGTATAATGGCTAATGATTTTAGCCAAGGTTTAGAGTGAATATTATATGCAATATTATGTAGCTGTTAAAATGTGTATGTACATCTAATTTACTGTAAAAACTATTCATGATATATTATTGAAACTGAATTCTAAAGCAATTACATATTATAATCCAAATTTTAAATATGTTGTGCGTATGGCTAGCCACATTTTTATATTTATACATACATATAAAAAATCAGAAGGAATAAATCCAGAATGCTCACATAGTGGCAGAATTATGACTAATTTTTCTTCTTTACACTTTTTAGAATGTTTTGCAATAAACATATGTCACCCTTAACTTTATGGTGGTGCTGAAGATCAAACCTAGGACCTCATGTATATTCCTAGTCATACTCTTAGTTTTTTAGGAGGATGTACATATATCATATGACTGTACCTATGATGAGGGACAGTGATGTTTCATGTAATTATAATCTACATTCTGAAAACTGTTCCTGTGGGGTGATTTTGTTATGAGAGCATGATACACTGTATTACACAAACCTAGATGGTTGGACCAGTGGTGGCAAGCCCATGGCATGCATGTTAATTGTTTTCCTTTTAAGACAGAAGATGTGGAGCAAGATAGGCTGGTAAGATAGCTCAGTGGCATGACCATCTGCCTGGCAAGCACAAGGTCCTGAGTTTGATCCCTGGTACCAAAAAAAAAGGACAGAAAATGTTAAGATATGAGGTTTGAGGGCAGTCAAGAAAGCTCAGCAGTGTAAGCGGCTGCTTAGACAAGCACAGAGACCTGGGTTTGATCCCCAAAACCACAGTGCTAGACTGGCTCCACCCCCAGGCACACTGAGCTGGCTATAAATGTCATTTATTATCATTAAGTATCATGTACTGTAAATGATTGTATGTGTTATACTGTTATATGCCTGACAGTACAGTGGGTTTGTTTATGCCAGCATCATCAAAAACATGAGGAATGTGTTGTACTACGGCATTACACCAGCTGTGCTGTCACTAGGTAATAGGAATTGGCAGCTCCAGTAATGTCTTATGGGCCCACTATTGTATATGCAGTCCATCATAACCAAAATAGTATGAAGTGTTTGACTGTATTTTCACTTTAAGAAATTAGATTATAAGGATTAGGAAAAGGAACAAATACTTTGAATATTGTACATTTTCTGATTTCTTCAAAATAATTAAAATTAATGGTGTGTTGCTCATGAGGGCCCTGAACTCTGCTATTCCTAATCTAGAATTCGTGCTCTGACTCATCCTGTTGCATACAGCACTTGAGTTAAAACTGCTAATAGATTCAGTCTTGTACACAGCAATGAGAGAACATAAGGTAATCTTGTGGTTGGATGACAAGCTGTTGAAACTCACTCTCATATTTTACCAGCTTCTAGGGTGAAACTTTAATAAAACCCAAAAAGTTGTTCCTGTAAGATAATTGTATTCAGTGAAAACTACCAACACTATTTAGAAAAACAAACTAGTATTTACTAGAGTTGAGTTGACCATATGTCTTGATTATAAAATAAGCCCTGTTTCTTTAGTGGACATAAAATAATTTAAGTAAGAGTTTTAAAATTTGTTCCATGTCAAAATTCTTTACAACTAAAGCATGTGTGTCCATCAGGTACGAATCGAAATTAGCAGAAAAGCTGAGAAGAGGACCACTTTGGTGCTATGGGGTGGCCTTGCCTACATGGCCACGCAGTTTGGCATTTTGGCCCGGCTCACCTGGTGGGAATATTCCTGGGATATCATGGAGCCTGTCACCTACTTCATCACTTATGGAAGTGCCATGGCCATGTATGCATATTTCGTAATGACACGCCAGGTGAGAATTCTTCAAATAATGTACTAATGGGGCTTCTGTGGTCAAAGTAGGTCTTGTTTCTCTCATTCTTTCCAAGGCCAGAACTCTTCTAAGAACTCATTTTCCTTTATTTTTTTTACTTTATTTTTGTATGTTAGGACAGGGTCTATAAGTTCTACAGGGTCTCACTGCATAAATCAGACTCCTAGTGATCCACCTGTTTACAGCCTCCCAAGTGCTGGGATTACAGGCGTGCACCACCACGCCCAGTCTGTCTGCTATCCCAGCACGCCCCAGGGCCGGGGCTGGCACCACATGCCTTGTGATCAAGCTCCCAGCCCCTGTGTCTGCCTAAGCAGGCTCTGTAATCCCCTGAGCTATTTGGCCGGCCCTCATTTCCCTGCATGCGCACACCCAAATGTGGATGTCGGTTCATAGCAGGCACTATTGCGGATGATAAAGACAGAGAGGCAGGCGTGAGCCATGGTTTCTGCCTTTGTGAAGCGCAAAGACTATTAAGAGAGCTGTATTAGGAAAGTAGACTAGCATAAGAACAGAATGAGAGAGCAAAGGCCTTCTCCTGCAATGGCCAACTTGTCCACCCACATTGGGTTTTTTAAAAAATGTGTTATGTAATTAATTTAACAGTTGGATGAGGAATGTCACATACTTTCTGTTGAGTTTAAATATCTTGGGATACTTGAGGGATTTATCATCGCTTTTTAAAATGTGGTCCTGGCAAGTGAATGCAAAGCTTCCGCATGCTAAGCAAACACCCTACCCCCGAGCTACAATGCCAGCCCCATCATCATGTGATTGTATCTTTGATACTATCACACATCCAGCCAAGTGTTCCTTTGAATAGCAGACATTTGAAGTAGCTGAGACACGAGAGAGACTTTTCTGTTCTCTTGCATATCAGAAGAAAGTTGAGAGTTGCTTCTTTTATTTGTATATAGCTGCTATTGAACATAGGTATTTCCTTTCTGTTGTTCATTCAGTAGTCATGGGCCTATTTATTTGTATGAAAAAGAAAGAACGAGTGTGTTATTTACCCTCTGGGCCTCCCAAACATTGTCTAGTAGGAAGACAGCGGGCTGTTCCTGCCCTGATGCTTACCCAGAGCTGGCTGCACTGTCTGGCTTGGCTAGTTCACAGAACTGAATGGCCATGTCACTTGTATCTAATTGCAACTCTTATCTCCCTCCTCTCCCTGGACATTCATAACTGGCTCCTGTCTGCCTTTTCAAATGTCTCTCAATTCCACTGTGTATGTACTATGTCTTCTGAACAAACCAATTTATGTTAGCTATACCTCAAAGGTGTCTTGAGTTTCCTGGCACTCCATCTCTTTGTTCACACCATTCATTCAAGTGGAAAAGTCCTCCCTGTTGCTCTCTCCCTGTCCCATTTCCAGACTTATTATCTTTCATGAACTTTTAGCGAGTTCTCTCTGGCTGACTTCAATCTCTCCCTCTTCTGAATTCCCACAGTACTCTGTGTCTCTCATCTCACTCATCCCATGCTGTCCTATGCTATAATTACTTGGGCAACATCTTTTCCCTCCTGCTAGATGTTATCTTTTGAGGGCTGGCTGTTTAATTTCATTCCATTTTTATTTCCTGGGGGGCCTGCCCCTTAGCTCAGTTCTTTAAGTGGCTGCTTCAACAAAGCAGTCAGGCTCAGGTTGCTGTGGTTCAATCCCCACAACTCAGGCCAGCCAATCATGCCCTGAAGGCATTCAAAGCAAAAAAAAAAAAAAAAAAATTTATTTCCTTATCATGTAACACAGGCTAGATGTAGAAGACTGAGTGAACTGAACATATAAAATACATGACAACCCTGTCCAGCCATGCTCTAGGACCTTTCCAGTTATATTTTGAATCTAGGGACCACCTGTGATATGCCTCTTGCCAATCAGTGAAGTACAAAATTTCCTTGTGGACTTTGAATTTCCTTGAATATCAAAATGCTGAAATAATTAAGCACTCTTCACACTTCTGTGAGAGCCCCTTGCCTTTTGCGTGGTCATTACTAGTGATTACCTTTTCCTGAGACCACATTTAATCTCAGCCTTGTACATACATGCTCCCATTTTATAGCTCGCAATCGAGACTTAGAGAGAAGAAGTAATCTGCTCTTGACTTCATTTATGAGTAATTACTTATGAAAACCCTAAGGAACCATAGTCTGAGTTAGAAATAGCAACATATTGAAGAATAATTTCAGGTAGCAAATAGTTCTGTCTTATAAATGTTTCCTTCCACTGTACAATAATGTAGGTATTCATGTGGACACAATGTCATCCTTTTTTTCTCATTATAACGTGGTAGGATTTTAATACTTTATCTGTCTTGACTAGTTAAATGCTCCCCTTCTGTAGTTCCAAAAACAATCATTGCTGCCCTCAAGTGACAAGTTGCAAAACAGCAGGACTAAGCATTCTGGCCCTGTTCACTTAGAGAAGGAAAACACGGACCAAATAGAAGGTAGTTTTGTTGTTGTTGTTGTTGTTGTTGTTGTTGTTGTTGTTGTTGTTGTTAAATATCCATTACCTAATTAACATCTGTAACTAACACTGTGAAGCAAAATACCTCTTCAATAGTGCTTACCTTTTTTAAACTCTTACACTGAGCTGTAGCATTTGTTAGCAGTCTGAATACATCCCAGTAGAATTTTTATAAGATGACCAGTTCTTTGATACAGTAAAATCCAGTGAAATGTTGAATTTTACCAATATTCCAGTGAAATCTGGCATCTATTTCTGTGATATGGAGAAAGAGCCTGGCAGTAAGAATTGACAGTCCAAATACTTCCAAATGCAAAGTAGACCACCCATCCTACAAGCCAACCCATGAGTTTTCAAAAGAGGAGATGTTGCAAGGGGTGGAAATTGATTCTTGGGGTAAAAACATCACAGATATTATAGTATATAAGTAGATATACAGTATAGCTGTGGTATTAGATCTTCTTTGGGAAGGAGGACAATCAGGCAGCAAATTATCTAGAGAAGACTTATTTTATTTATTTATATTTTTTGGTGGAACCAGGGATGGAACTCAGGCCCTTGTGCTTGCCAGGCAAGCGCTTATTCTCCTGAGCCATCTCCCCAACCCCTAGAAAAGACTTTTAAGGAGCAGTAATAAAAAACTAGATTGAGAAATAGCAAACTAACCTTTAATACCTTCATTTTTTTTTTTGGTCTTTTTTCCATCTTAACATCCATCATTTATATTCTGCTCTAGCAAACTACTTCAATGGCCATTCACAACCTCTTAGAACCCTCTCCCTTATAATATAAATCAGTACACTAATTTCTGATCATAATTTCTTTTCTTTCTACCCTTTTTATCTCAAGTAGACCTTTAGGCTGCTGACATCTTTCTTTTAACTTTTCACCATCATGTACTTCCTGTGTTGCCTCCTTTTCTATCCCACTTAAGCCAATTGCCATTCTCTTCTTAGTGTCCTACAATCCCTGTGGCTTTGTCTTTCTACCATGTCTGCTACAAAGCTCTCATTTGGACTGAATCCCTTCATCTTATATTGAGGCCACCAAACATTGCTAGAGAAACACCATGTGGCGGTGAGCAACGGGCCACTGCTTGTGTTTCTAATTGTATTTCCTTTCTCATATCACCCCCAGTACTTGTTCTACAAATTCGCATCCAGTCCCCAGCCCACCCTTAACCTCCCCTCTTACTTCTAGAAAATTGAAGAGACAGTACGCTTTCTAATTTCCAAACCCTGTGAAGTTAGTTCTATCTGTACCTACTTTCATATTGTCTTCTTCACACTAAAAGAAGTGGCCTCTTCCTGATAAGGATCAGCCCTCCAGCTGCTCTTAATCCCACTCCCTCCCTCCAGTACCTTTTCCTAGTTTATTTTCTGTGTTCTCCGTGTGTATAGCCTCTACCTCTCAGAACTATACTGTGTCTCTTCTCGCTAATTAATGTTGTCATGAAATTTCTAGAATACATTTTAACTTAGTTGCTCAGTTAATGCTTGGTGCCCAAAAAGACACAGCATAGAATAGGTTTCGATTAAATTTAATTTACATTTACATCCCAAAGCAAGATAGGTGTATAACCTAGTAACAGCAATTTAGATGACCATAGGAGGCTTTACTTCAAGTTCTTCACCCATGTTATTTCTTCAATCAGTGTTACTGACTTAGACCTCAACTTTATCCATTTCTACAGGTTTCCAAGTCCCCTTTATCTATCACCCATCCAATATCTGTCATCAGTAATTAAATATTTACTTCGGCTTCTAGTTGTAACATACTCAGATAATCAGATCATTCCCCTTAGTATATGTTAGAGTTGTTAGCTAAAATATAATACACAACTGTCCGAAGATACTAAAAAGCTAACAAAATAACAGAAATGACCAGGCAAGGCTCAGTGGGAGAGGAATGCCAAGCAGGTGAGGCTCACATTTAGGTGTGCTTTCTCTCTGTAAATTTGTCCTGATCAAGACTAGAGGGACTGAGAGGCCAAGCACCTGAGCCATACTTGATGAGCTGGGGAGCCAAAGCCATGGAGATTGGTACCCAGGAATCACTGAAGCAGGTGGCACACTTCTGCTCTGTTCGGAGCCTGCAGCAGCCACCATAGCAGATAAGGATGAACCTGGTATAGGCTTTCAGAGATTGCACCCTACCTTTCACCAAGAAAGTTGAATCGAGGCAGTGGTAGACCGGCAGTCCCAGAGTGCTAACCTGTGCCCACAGGTTAGGCAGAAGCAAGCTTTTATCATTCTTAGGAGGAAATAATATTATCCTAAACCTTAAATTGTCTCACTAATAATTTTGCTAATACAAATTTAGTCATTCAATAAAAAATAAGTAGATATACAAGAAAGTTTCTACAGAAATAGTATACATTGGAAGCAGAAACAGATCAGACATTGGCCTTTGTATAGGAAGTCTTTAATTATATTTCTTATATTCAGGGAGACAACAGTCTAGGTTCAAAATACTGGCAAATAACTTGATTTTTTTTAATGACCAAATAAAAATTCTAGAAATGATATCTAGTGCATGGGCTTCACAGATTATACCTAACTAAAGGCAGAAATCATGCAGCTGGAGGTATAGCTACATGATATAGTACTTGCCTAGCATGTGCAAGGCCCTCCATTGACTCTCCAGCGTTGCAATAAAAGAAAAAGAAAAGAAACAATGACCTGAAAGAATTCAAAAGAAACTATTCAAAGTGACATAGAAAGAGACAAAAAGTGTAAATTAAGGAAGGATAAGAGACACAGATGATACAGTGATAAGGCCTGATATGTATTTAATCTTATTGGCATCTTAGAAGAAGAGAAAAAATGAGAAGAAACTATTTTAAGAGGTGATGGCTGAGCCAGGCATGGTGCCACATAATCTCAGCACTCAGGAAGCTGAGGCAGGAGGATTACCATGAGTTCAAGGCCAGCCTGGGCTACATAAGCAAGTTCAAGGCCAACCTGCACTACATAGTGAGACCCTATCTCAAAGTAATGGCTGAGAATTTTCCAAAATGATGAAAGACATGAATTTATGGATTTAAGAACCCCCCCAAAATACCAACCAATATAAAGAAAAGAACTGTACATCTAGATTCATCAGTAGCAAAATTTCAAAACTCAAAGGGAAAGGAGAAAGAAAAGCATGTTTTCAGAGGGCGAAAGCTGACTTCTCAGCAGCAAGAGCAAAAGCCAGAAGACAGTGGAGGAGGAGCTCAGTGTGTGAAAAGAAAATAACTCAAGCTAGAGCTGTAGGAATAGCAAAAATGTATCCTTTCAAAATAAAGGTGAAGCAGAGACCTGGGGATGTATCTCAGCAGTAAAGAGTTTGTTTAACATACAGGAGGTCCTGGGTTCAGTCCCTAGCACCAAGAAAATTTTTTTAAAAAGCACCTCCAAAATAGAGAATTTGTAACCACCATATCAGTACTAAACGCTAACTGTGTTCTTGGGCAGAAGGAAGATTATCAAAGATAAGAAGTGAAAAAAAAAGGAAGGAAGATAATGAAAATTATTCTGTGAGTGAATCTAAATGAAAATCAAATGTATGAAACAGTTATAAACCCTTACAGAACTTAGAGTACAGGGAGGATTGAAATGTACAACAGCAGTGGCCTGTAGTACTAGAGTGGGCAGGTATACAAGATGTTCTGAGTCCCCTTCATTGCCTGGGAATGGTATGAAAGCACAACTGTTCAGCTTCAATAGCCCAACTTTTCCTTTTTTTTTTTTTTTTCAGTGCTAGGGACCAAATGTACGACTTGCCATATGTAACGCAAGCACTCTCTCACTGAGATACATCCTCAGCCCTTAAAATTACTGTTTAAAATACCTAGAAATACATCATACAAAATATATACAAAGCCTCTATGCAGAAAAACATGAAGGAGAGTTAAAAAGGGGAATGATAGACCATCTTCATGGACTTAAAAGTAAATATTACAGAAATGTCATTTCTACTCAGTGATCTGCTATGCTCTGTTAAAATCCCAGTAGATCTAGGGATAGGGAAAGAGATTTGAATAAATCTCTTCTAAAATTGACACAGAAATGTACGACTGAGAAAACAAACCCTTGAAGAAAGAGTAAATGGATTTGCTCCACGAGATATCAGGACTACTGCTCTAGTTTAACCTTTCAGTAGTTAAGGTAGTGGCACAAGTATAGACAAACAGACCAACAGACAACAGAAGGTAGAAATAGACCCAGTATAAATGAACTTATGATTTTAAAAAGATGACAATATAAAGAAAGCAGTCTTTTTCCATAAATGACAGTAGGACAGTGGTGTTATAGATATTGAATATTAATATAAAATGAGATAGCCATGTTTACACTATAAACAAAATTTAATTCCAGATGAATTATATATCTAAATATGAAAAGTAACACAGCGAAACTCCTGGGAGATAACATAAGAGAATATCTTTTTGACTGTGGAATGGGGAATGACTTCTTATACAAAATGAGAAGTACCATAAAAGTTAATAATGAAAAATTAGACTATATCAAAAACTTACCTTTGCTATATAGAAGAACACCATGAATAAGGTGAGCAGGCAAACAGGATCCTAGCTAGGCCTGGGAGCACACATCTGTAGTCCTAGATCTCTGGGACACTGAACCCGAAGGTCACACATTCACACCTAGCCTAGGCAACTTAGTGACTTAGGAAAACCATGCCTCGAAATTTAAAAAGACTTGGGATGTACCTCAGTGCAAAGACCCTGAGTTTAATCA